CCCCCCCCCCCCCCGCCCCGCGCCGGGGAGCGTCCTGTCTCGGCAGGGCTGCGTGGCTGCTGCTGGAGTTTCTTTGCGTGCCCGGGTTCGTCCCTGCTCTGCACGGCTCAGAGGACGCCCAGGCCATCGGGCGATTTTGCCTCAGGCCTCTTCTCCCCCGAGACCCGTCCTCCAGCGAGGGCTGCCGGCGCGGGCGACCGACGTACCCTTCCAGCGCCGGCGACTGCGGGAACAAGGCTAAGAACATTCTTCCCACAACTCGAAAGCCAGAAGACTAAAAAGCTCTAGTTATCGTTTAAAACCTCATTACTCTTCAGGCAGCGGCAGTTTTCAGGGACTTTTCTGCTTGTTACTGTTCACGGTGTGCAAACTAAGACGCGGGTTTGGGAAGACGAGCCAACACTGTTGGCTCAACAACAAAATCGCTGTCACCGCTGATATCGGTTCGTTCAGCCCAGACAGATGAAAAGTCTCATTGCAAGGTCAAATTTTAAACATCAGTTCTCTGTGTTTCCTGTTAAATTTGGGCAAGTTATCTTGCAAACTGTGATTTACAGTAATTGCCATCCTAAAGATTCCTTGTCATGCCAAATCCCTGTGAAGGAAGTGCTGTGGCTCTTATGCTTTAAATTCTCTGAAAATTAATTCCAGTTAGAGAACTGTAAAGGTTAAAGCTTAGCCGGAAGGTGCTGGGGATACGAGCCCATGGCAGATCCTCAGCGATGCTCGGGCGTCGAGCTCCCTACAGAGAACAGGAGCAAGATGTCTAAATATCTCCAAGGAATGAAAACTTCAGGGCTCATCTTTTTTTACCCTCCACCCACCTCCCAGATGCTTGCAGAGATGGAAAGAAATTCATCTTCACTCCCTTCCCTCTCCAAGCTGCACGCTCTGCGAGGGATCCTCGGGCTCTTTGCACAAGGTCCCTGCAGTGAGCCCGCAGAGCAGGGGGTTTGCACGGGGACCGCACAGCCGGCGGGGCGGGTGGCACTGGGACTGCGCAGCCAGGGGGTGGCACCGGGATTGCACAGCTGGGGAGGGGGGAGACTGCACCAGGACCACAGAGCCGGGGGTTTGCACCAGGACTGCACAGCCAGGGGCTTTG